TAGGGCGGCGCGGGCTCGTGTTACTTGAGGAGCGCAACTGCCGCTGGTCCCAAAACACATAGTTCCATGGAAGGGGGGGGGGGAGGGGGAAGAAAAGTGGGAGCGGCTGGGGCTCTGCGGCACGGCTCTATTTCCTACCGAGAAGAAAGCACAGCCGCCCAGCGACAGTAGCGCTTACAGGGAACGGTACTGTAAGTTCGCTGCTTTCTGCTTATGCTGAGCGCGGAGACGGGGGGCAGCGTACTCCCGGACACTGCTTCACTATCCTATTCATTCATTGCTTTTTTTCTGATGAAAATGGGGTGAGAAATAAATTGAAAAGAGTTTGGTGGTTTCTTCTAGTGCAAACACGTTATGGTGGGGAGGTAGTGTTGCGAATTGTATTTTATTACTTTTTTTTTTAACTGAGGTTGAATTCTAGTACCGCTGTTGGCTGTGTTATTAAGGTGTTTTTTTCGTCTGTAATACTACAGAGGGATTAGCAAGCAGGGACAGTTACCTGGCACTCAGCTCAATTCGTCTTCCCACTGCTTTTGGCATTTATGTCTATTTCCTCCACTGGGTTAAATACGGAAACATCCACATCACTGGGATGGTTCTAAAAAAACTATAGTAGGTATAAGACAGAAGTAGATCTTATTCTCAAATGTATTTAAATGTAAGGTAACTATTACTCATACGTTACAGATTTTGATCCATGCAATAGTAAAAGCTCTATCCAAAAGCAGAGAAGCAATGGCATTCATATCCTACGTAAACTGGACATAGAGAGTACAAAAAAGCATGAACTGTCAGACTGGATGAAAACCCAAATGAATAGTTCATTTTCAGAAGAATTAGGCTGTGTCCCCAATGCAACTGATGAGGAACAAGATGACTTACCTTATGATGGAGACATAGGAATAACCTGCAGATACAATAATTCAGATAATTTGAATGACTGTACTTGTACAGAAGATATTTGTGGTATTTTAAACTTATTAGCCTGTTCTGAAAATAACAAAAACTTAAAAGCAACAGCAAATTATGAAACTTATGCACAGCCTGAAGAATCCTCTAGTCACCACAGAGGTGCCATAGGAACAACAGGAATTGCAGTTGAAATGCCTGGAAATGAAGCTTCCTTTAAGAAGAAATTACCTGTTGGTGACTTTAGTAAACCAGACAGCAAAGAACATGAAACTAACTCAAAAATGTCCAATGTCCTTTTGCGTCATTTTTCTAAGGGAGAGTTAATAACCACATGCCAGTTAATTGAATGCGAGACAATACCAGAGACATCCTTTACAGAAAGTATCAATGACACTGCGCACAAACCTGAGCCTTCAGAACATGTCAAAGGCCCTTTAGTACATGAACAATGGGCAACTAACTTTAAAGAATATCAATTAGAAAAGCACAAGAAAGCAAACATTGGTGATACAAATCAAAATTCACTAACTGGAAACAGATATGTTTCAAAGAAACCTATTTCTCCTACTGGTAAGTGCGGGTGCAGACAAGAAACTTCACTGTTGGTTAATGAGAATGAAAATACACACATCTTTCAAAACATGAAAGAAGAGACTGACCTGTTTAAGAAAACAGTTTCACTTCACGAGCTCAAATACGGCCAAGGTCAAGCTCACTACTGCCTTCCTGACTTCTCCAAAGTTGCTTCAGAAATTAAAATACCAGAAAGAAATGACAATACTAACTCAGTGCCTAAAACTGAAAGAACAAAATCCTTCCCCATTTTAAGTAAATCAGTAATTGTGAACAACATTCTAGAAAATAAGAACCATTTCAATTCAGCTGAAGTAGCGAATCAAGAAGGAATGAGCATTCCAGAACTGTTGCAACAGCTAGAGGTAATTAAGATGTTTTAAGAAATTCTTAATCCTTGGTAGTGTGATGTTTACCATAAGATGATACTCTGTGGCCAGTAAAATCTAACATGACTAGTTCATGCAGGCAGTCTGTAAGTATCAGCGAGGATATTACTGTACTCAACAACTGCTTTCACAAATAACATTTTGTGGGACTGAATTTACATGGAATTTTCATCCGAAATATTTAATGATGTTCTGGAATATAATTTGCTATTATAAAGCATCCTATCAAGTCACTAGAAAATTCACTAGAAGTCGTTATTTCTAATATTCTATGTAAATGTTAAAATTCACCAAAAGTACTAAACTGAAAGTTTTTCTTACAAATATATTTTCATGCTGTGTCTGTGTTTATATTAAAGACATCTTTGCCTTTTTTTGAATCTTAACATGCTTCAACTATTTATACCGGTATTTACTGGCAAGTCAATTCTTAAAGGATTTGTGTGACAACAATATTTCTCTTATTGTGGTAAATTTCTTCCGCAGTTTGTAATTCGACAATCACTTTCAATTTCATGCCCTGCTATGGAGTTCATTCAGACAGCTATACAGATGGCTTAAGTCCATTCCTAGATTTATATCTTAGGAAATCATTCGAGATGTAACAAGTTTTAACAGTTTTCCCTATTATCTTCTGGCTGCAAATGAGATGCAGACACAGCATGCTGACACCCAGAATCATATTGACCACCTCAGACTGAACCATGAGGTAAATATCTCAAAATAGATCTTTTTTTTTTTTTAAATTCATTCTCCATCTCTGGAATTATGAATATTCCCCAAAACTATTTTGCCACCTTCATATCGTACTTCGGATTTATACAAATCCTCTTTAGATTTTCACAATAGACTTGAAATATTTAAGTATTTATACAATGAGACACTATGCATATATTAAACTATAAACACAGTTATATAGTATTGTTATAATAAACATTTCATTAATACTAGTAACTTGTCCTATGTATTTTGAGTTGTTTCTGAATTTTGTATTTATTTTCACAAATGTTCTATACATTGTTTCTATAACCAACATTCTCATTTTAACAGATACTTCCTCCGTCAGATTTTCCAAATGCCAGCATTGCCATTCACTCAGGAGACACTGGGACATCCTCTGAAGTCTTCACATTACATGATCCTATCCCTATACAATCTACACATGGTTTGTCTAAAGCAAGTAAATGAAGTTACAGTAACTATGCAAGTTACTTATGTAATTTGATAGCACTTTTCAAAGGAAATTGCAATTGATTTATCTTATTTTGTATTATGTAGGATTACAGTGTGCAACAACAGCATCTGCGTTACCAGCAGCTGGTACAGTAGAAGCGCATTGTCTAAATCCTTCTAATTTACTGCCAGAACTAACACTAGGAGAAAAGATGTCTCAAATACTAAAGGATCAGACAGATCAACTGATAAAGAAAGTAAGGAGCTCTGTTTCAATATATACTTTGCACTGATGCTCAAGAGCTATATTCATTTGGCATATTCATTTTTAAAATACCAAATAAAAGTCTCATTTTTTCTTGAAGGTGGAAGACTTCTCTAAGCACATGACCCAAGAGACATTCCTTTTACAAGACAACTATCTGGTAAAATAATTTATGTATTTTTTGTTAGCTGAAATGCACTTTAAACGGCTGTAGACACACAATTTTCTGGCAAGATACTCCATGTCTTCCTCAAACAGACATTTAAAAATACTCTTAATCTGAGACTGAAATTAAGAGGCAGAAATGAAGGTGTGTAGTAGGTGGCTGAATTCTTTAATCTGTTTTAAGAATTACAACTCAAAACTATTAGTGAAAGGCCTTAAGTTGCTGTGCAAGTTATGAATTTTGACATGTAGGGTATTAGTTCAGAAGTCGTGGTTTAATATTTTACTTGTACATAGGAGAGCAGCACAGAGTACTAGGTAGACCTGCAAAATGCAGTCCTGTTCCAATTCAGAGCAATAGCAAAATTCTTACCAACATCACTGCAAATTGCATCTGGCTTACATAGCATAAATAGCTATCACCATGGCTTGCTAAATTATAATGACATTTACTATTCAATTATTTCTTATTGGTGAAGGCATTAAATCAACTGAAAATATACCTTGATGCCTTGGAAAGGAATTACTTAACAGCTAGAGAAAAGCACCGTAATTTACAGCTGCAGAACTACAAGGACAAGTCTATCAACGTTGGAGAGTTTGATCCTGAAAGGTTAGAAGATAAGTGCTAAGTATATTTTTCCATATTTTGAGTCTTACAACCATTACTTCATTTATCCATTAGAATTTTTCTGCAGCGAAAACATCTTAGTGTTACGTGTGGTAAGCTAGAAGTGATTTGGCCAAAATTCATCTTGGGCTTTACATATCATAGTTATAATTAGGTTATCTAATTGATTAATTCAAGTTCTTAAAAGGGACTCCGTGAACTCCATTAATTTATTTTTTCCTATGGGAAGTGTACTGCAGTGCCTAATATGGTTATCATAATAAGAAATAAAACATCAGTTTATACAGGCTTCGCTAACTGTGTATTGCAATTGGGTTTAGAAAAGTAGAAGGGGAAATATTTAGACTTGGCATGCTGCTTGAAGACATCCAAGAGCCAACCGATGACAGCAAATGCAACTTGTCATCTTTGCTTACTTCCTATGAATCTGCCCATCCATCGTATTCTCTTTGTGAGGTAACGCTGAGTTTTATTATTTTAAGACTACATTATTCTTTTTTACTGATGCAAGTCTCAAGAACCTCGGTATGGTTGTACTGTTGTATGTTCTCCTCTAGTAAGAGCATGACACTTTTAGATAGCATGTTACTTCAAAGGAAATGTTTTGGTTTGGTTTTTTTTCCCCCCCTATGAAATATTAACTTCTAACAGAAACCTAAGTATAAAAGCACAGCTACACTGAATATTCTTAGTCCCAGCTTCAAAAGCATTTATTTCAGAATAAGAAAATATGAGTAGCTACTTTAACTTTTACAAAGCTGTCTTTGTTTTGGGGAATTAATCACTATCATTTAGTTGGAAGAATTATTACTTTGTTTGTCCAAGGTTCTTAAAAATGCAGAATTACTAGAATACCAATCATTATCATGCTATAGAAAATTGAGTTTACTGCTAAGTATGTTAATATTTTGTGCTGGATCATAGATGCACAAAAAAAAAAATCGTACAGCCTTCTACAAATCTACAGATAAGTATCACTAAATGCTTTCATAGTCCATGTTTTAGAAAACATTCTTCCCTGAATCCCAAGTTAGAGACGCTCAGAAAACGCACACTGGTAGAAGTCATGTGCTTGTAATGCAATGACCACATATTACAGGTACCTATCCTATGGTTACTTTGTACAGAGCTCAGTAGTTTCAAGCATTGCTGATCCTCCAGAAAGAAGTATTGAAATTGCATTTCTTCACAAGAACAACAAAGAAGAAAAAAGTCAGACAGCTGATGTAATCCCACAGATAAATCAATTTTCATTGGAAGGCGACAAGTGCAATTTTTGTCTTCACATGTAAGTGAAAACTTTGAAACAACTACTGAAGTTTTTATACAAAATTACTTAAAATTATTTGCTGAATATAGAAAACTGGGAAGTCTGAAATCTCTGAAAGCAATGAGTATATTTCCAGAATAAAACTTTTACAGAATTCTATAACTATATACCCAAGAATTCCTTCCAGCCTGGTATTCTTACCTTTCTGGGTCTTACAGACCTCAAAGTATTTCCTGAAGCCAAAACACTACTATCAGTTTCACTAGGAGTTAAATCATACTTCTGTAAAAAATTCACTGCAACCACACAAATTCAGGATGTGAATGATTAGTCAGAGTATAGTGCCAGTAAAAAAAATGATTTGCCAATATTTGTGTGGCATTTTTAATTAAACAAGAAAAGGGAGGGATGCAAACATTTACATAATTAGTCACCAAAACCATGAAACAATTCTAGATAACATCCCTGCTCTTCTCAAGAGTATTTCATAGGTGTTAATCATCTCAATGAGATTAGAAAAATAAAATAAATGGTTTCCCCTTAACCAATTAAGGTTACAAAATGGAGCTGAATCAACTTCCAGAAGAGAAACAGAGCTTCTGGGAAAAGGAGGTCTGCTAGCAAACAAGCATTCTTCTGATATAATGGTATGAGATCTGTTTCCATACTCACTTTTATTTTTTTTTTTAAAACTTAAATTATCTTATTCAGCTTTGGGATCACACAACATTTTTCTCTTCAGTCTTTGCACAGCATGATGGCTCAGCTTTTGAGATACTACAGCTTATCATAACATTGCTGAATTGATTTCCAAAGGAGAAATTTAAGGACAGACTCTCAAACACTTTTGAAATATGTGGTTTGCTTCTCTCAGGAAGGACTTAACTGTGTTTACTAGCCTGCCTTTATTATCTGTTCAGAAAGCAAAAAGCTACAAGCAATTGCTTGCCTACAACATTTAATTTTAAGGCATTGAGAGAAATTAACTTACATATGCTGATCTTTCTTAAAGCAACATGAAAGCCTGTCTTAAATTCCAACTTCACAGACAAAAAACAGTGTTCATATTTTGTCCAGTCTGCTCTACAGTTAGAATTGTAAGTAGATAAATCAAATTGTAAAGTTGATGGCAACTAAAAGCAATATAGAAGTGATATACAAATGATGCCACTGTATCCCGATTGATATGTACACAAGTAATATAAACAATCATTAATTTGTTTTGCCTTCTGGGTGCAGCAGAGATTCTTTTCACTTGAGGGAAAATATGCCGTTGAAGGTCTTGCATCCCATCATCAGGGTACATTAGGTCAAAAATTTAATGCCGATGAAGAAAGTATGAAAGGGTAAGTGTATTACATATTTTGGCTAGTCATAGATAAGGTTTTCTACAGCTAAGTGAACAGATACAGGCATGTACACTGATATGTCTCTCTACTGGATTCTGTATGAAACACTGAATAACATCTTTAATACATATAAAATGAGAGGATGATCTGTTTTCAAGTTTATCACCAGTTAATCACAAGGTATGCGATATACCAGACCACCAAAAAAATCGCAAAACTCCCATCAGTTTTATTAAAGAGAGGATTATATTCATATTACAAAGTTGCCCATCTCGGGGGACCAGTATAAGGTTTATGGTGCTGAAATGGCAGAGTTATTTTAATATCATGTTAAGAGGCTTTGTCTTTGTTCCCTATTCAGCAATGCATGTCAGCATCCCAAATTGGGATGATTGCAAAGTGTTCAGCAATGAAAAATATTGGAAGTTATCATCATCATGAACTAATCTGGTAGGCCTGCGAGGAGAGAATATTGATACATCTGCATGGATTTCAAGTGTAGGGGTCAAACTGTGAAGTTTCATTTACAGAAATGTCAGTGGGATGAAATAATTCTACATGGGTTATTTTGGAGTTTGAAATTTTGGTAAATTAAATCAGTATCCAAAGCTAGATCATATAATACGTGCAGTGTAGAACACAATAATATTCACCTAAATATACTCTCGGATTATTTTAGAGAGTAGAGTAAATGTTAATATTTACCTAGTAAAACTCACCTAGTTCCCATTTTTTTTCCTCTGTCATTTAAGGAAAGTTAGTTCAATCTTCTGATCATTTTTTTTCATGAATGGGTGGAAAATTTTCCAAGTCAATCTGATGCTACTGTATGCCTTAAGCTGAAAATACATGTCAAATAAGGCTAACAAGGAACTTTGTTCTTGTTCTGTCAGAAGGTATATCTCAAATATTCCTCTAGTCATCTAAAGGCAGTAAAATTAAAACCTTAATAGCTCAAAGTTACTAAAAAAACATATCATCCTTACTATTGGCAATATTTTGATGCAAAATTTGTGAACGCATATATAAATACATAGGATTTCATACCACTTTGCTATTTAAAGATGTGATTATCAAGACCTCTACTTTTAAGTATGTTTAACAGCTCTGGTAAGTCAGGGTCCTTTTGTCAGAATGTGTCCTTTAACTAAAGGGGTCTTTATTTTGCATTTGGTTAGTTTTTAATTTAAGCTTCTGCTTACTACCTTTTAAGATAATTGATACAGGTAGAGTTCCTTATAAGAGTAAATCTGCTTCCTCCTCAAATAAGAAGTGCTCAAACATTAATATAATATGCTCATAAGGCTCATCATAAAGGTATTAAGATACAATGAAGATATCATTCTGTTTTCATGCTCAAAGAAATACAAACATCCAGGAAAGGAAAACTGGAACACATTCACTCTTCATTCAGAGAAAACCAACTGATTTATCAGACACCAACTTGAGTAAGTAGTGGTGGCATACAAAGGTCAGAACTGTGCTTATGCTTTCTATTGAATCCTGTTAAGAAATACATTCCTGTCACATCTCAGCAGCATGAAAATTGTTTTGAAGTTCTAACAGATGTTACTGCTTAGCATAAGACACTAAAAATAAAAAGGAGACTAAAGAGGACACCAAGTCAAATTCACTTTGGAAGTCTCAGTGACAGACCAAGAGGCAACAGAGAAGCTGCAACAGAATTTCCAGTTAGAAATGAGAAAAAGAGTTTTAACTCTGGGTCTAGTCAAACACTGAACCAGTTCCCCCTAGAGAGGCTGTGGTATCTCTGTCCTCAGACATATTCAAAACTCAGCCGGACTGGGTCCTAAGCGACTTCATCTAAATTCATCCTGCTTTGAGAGGGGATTGGGCCAAACAACCTCCAGAAGCTCTATCCAATCTGAATTACTCTATAATTCTAATTCACCTTTTTAGGTAAGTTTCCCAATATTACTACTACTACTATTTTCAAAAGCATACCAGTAGTGTGCACGCAATGCTTTGATTTTGCTTTTTGTCGTCATCATGTGCATTTATGTCATGTCCTAGAAAGAGATTCCAGTCTTGCTGACTGAAACATCTCATACTGGTTCTTCCACTTTTCAAATCCTTGATCTGTTCAGGGTTGACAGAGACTGGAAATATTCTCTTTCCTTAGTCCAGCTCCTAATAATATAATTTCCCCGAATCCAAACTAAAGCCCACACAGGCTACTGCGAGCTAGTTAAGTCAGCTGTCAAGTCATCCAAGGCTCCATCTTTTGGAGGTTCACTAAATATCTGTCAGCATAGTGGAAGGTGTCCCTGCCCATGGCAGGAGGGTTGGAGCTAGATGATCTTCAAGGTCCCTTCCAACCTAAACCATTCTATGATTTGTTTCTCTTTGGGCATCCCAATTTTATCTTTCCACCGCAGAATACTTTGAAGCTGTTAGTACCCAACAACTAAAGAGTAGCATGAGCTCTCCTAGATTCAGTTTTAGGTTCTGAATATGTAGGTTATTCTTACCTTTGATCTACCTTTTGTCCTTGGCTTCTCTGCAATATCCTTTCACTTTAATATTACATTGGGGACATTATTATTAGTACTGGTTCATACAATAGCTGTACAAAACAGTGCTGTACTAGATCCTCCCAGATTCTCTTGTCACACTCCTCTTAGGCTGCATTTTTTTTGTAACACCTCAACTTGTAGGAGTTTTCACCTTCAAAACAAGAACCAAAGGAGAGGGAGATGAAGAGCTTAGTTTTTTTAAAAAACAGTTCTGGGACTGAAAACAACCACCACTGCAAAAGAAAAAAAAAAATACATTTGAGGCTTACAGTCAGGGCTGAAAGCCAATCTTTAAAGTTCAATCCCCACCTGTAAAATTGAAGGAAAGTACCTTCTTCAAATTGCAGTAGTGTCAATGACAGTGAAGGGCTCAGAAATTATGGTGCTGAAAGCCAAATAATTACCTAGGTACACAGGTCAAAATTTCTAATATTTCAGACATTTTTAAAATATTTTTGGGATTTTAGGCAGCGATTCAGAAGACATCTCAGCCTATGATTCTTATGATTCACAAAGCGAAGAACTTATGAACTATGAGACTGAAAGTTACAAAACATTCAATACAAGATTACGTGGAGAGAGAAAAGGTATAATGATTGCAAAAAATACTAAAGTCTACACAAAAAATATTCTTGTTTATAGTGTTTTTCTAAACAACATATTTGTTTTCAGGACTTAGATGCAGATGTCCTAGAGGAAGCAGAGATCAATTTAAACTCAGGAATTACAAAGAGTCGGTTCAGTCTTGTGCCCTAAGTAGAAATAAAAGTTCTGGTTCAACCTGTAAGTATGATGTGTTACTGAAATAATTACCAATCACAGGCTAGGTTTTAAGGGGCAGAAAGCCACACTGCACATATATCAGGCCAAATTTAGTTTAGCATAAGCAATCAGTAGCACGGCAGATAAACAGTGGATGTCTACAGATCTTGTAGAGCAAGATCAGCAAATCCAATTTTAACACACCCAGCCAAGTTTAATCCCCATGCATGAGAGCTTTAACCTTCTCTGATTCTTTATGAGAGGAGTCCCATATTTCATTTATGACAGGAATTGGGCATTACTGTGCCATCTTTTTCAGTCCTAACTGTTACCTAATGTAGTATAAACAAGTACTGAAGAAAATTCCAGCTCTACACTCATATCGTGTGACATACAAAATCAAGGAAAGCCTAGTTTAAAAAAAAAAAAAAAAAAAAGAAAAGTTGAACATCCGGCTTTTAAAGTCACTTATCTCAGACTCCTCTCTATATACTGTGTGAAGAAATTCACTGAGAAAACCAGGAATTTTCAACAGTGGGAAGAAAGTGTAAGTTAGCTGCTTCTCTATATACATACTGTAAAACTAGAAATCAAAGTAGTAGTCGTGTAATTATTAGGATTATGACAGCCTGATTATTCTACGCTTCCCCCTGCAGTCTTTCACTGTATGAAAAGGAATATAAATCTGCATACCATTTGTCACAGAGTTAAATTCAACAGCAAACCAAAAAAGGTTAATCTGCCCTTATTTGCAAAAAGACTTAAACACATTCAAGTTTTATTCAGCAGCAATAGTTACTTTATTTTTTTTATCTATGCTAAATAGAGAAAAATGTTAAATATATAGAAGACTAAGTTTTTTACTTTTGTTTTAAACACGCCCTCAACAACTCCAGCTTATTCACAGAAGAGAATCTCCACTCAAAAGGCTCAAAAAAATAAGCAGCCACGTGAACTTGTAAACAGACTTTCTGAAAGGTAAGCTGTAGTAATAACTGTATGTAGTAAAACAGACAATGCTATTGTTGAAGATTCAGCATGGAAAATCACTAGTATCATAAGCAGGAGGAATGTTTTCTCATTTGTGGTGCATTCTGTGTATTAGAATTTTACTCAATAATGAAAATAAAATATTTACCCTAAAAGCAAGTGTAAATAATGCTTGGAGTAGTTCTTTAATCTTTCTCCTTTAATGAAGAGTCAACAACTGACTTCTTTAGCTGACACACTTAGTAAAAAAAGAAAAATTTTTCTAAAAAAAAAAAAAATAAATTGCCCTTTAGTAAGAGGATGTTCCCATTCACGGATTCAAAAACATGTCTGTATTATTTAAGACTTAATTCTGTTTACTACCAACTGTTTCTTTATAAGTAACAGTCATACTTTTAACTGTTGTTAACATTAAATTACACTGGGAATCTGAGAAGTAAAATGGATTCTTAACTATAGCACAGACTAGACTGAAACTCAGACAAGTTTTGTTACCATAGTTTTTGACAGCATTACTCAATAGCAGTAATTGCCTGGAAGTACAGCAGCTGCACTTGAGAATCGATGGTATAGACCACTCTGTAAGAGAAGGTTACAGCACCACGAACGTGATGCTGTTATGAAAGATTTCCTAACTCAGCATGCTGGAATGTTTTGTCTTACTGCAATACAGCTGTAAAATTACGAGGGACTGTGTTTTACAATCAAATGAAAAATTTTACTGACTGTAAAATTAACTTGCAACTGCATATGCTATCAAGCTGTATATATTTAATTCATAGTTTGGCAATTCTTTTGCTTAGTAAAGTTGTTTGTATTTTATTCTATATATCTTATGTTTAGGCAAAACTTTGAGGCTGCCAAAACCTGCTATTCAAGTACCTATGATAAAATTATCCTTTCACATCAATACTTACCCAGCAAGAAGTCTGCCCGAAGCAAATCTGCAATCAACATCAGAAACAGAAATGCCAATGACTCCAATGCAAATGTAAGACTTCAGAATGAAAAATTAAAAGGCACACAACTATCTCAGGAAGAGTACATCCCCACATCATGGCACTGTTGAACACCCTCATTCTTAGCAAGTTGCTTATAATCTAAGCATGTCTAGTCCACTTGAGGATAAGACAGGAGGAAGTTAAAAAAAACAAGTATTTTAGCTTATAATATTAGTATATTACTTCATGAGTATGTTAAAGACTTTTCGTGCAAGTTAGTTCCTACATAAATGGTGAAAGCGACAGAAAAGGAGCCCTGGATCGTACCTCTGGAATTATGTTTCATATACTGAAAGAAAGAAATGTCACCCACTCCATGCAAACCACTATCAAAACAAAAAAAACCCCAAACCTTCTCAATACAACAAACATGCACCACACTGGGGCTGCTGCTTTAGAAAGGCGTAGATATCTCTCAGTTCAAAGGATTACACAATTAAAGAGAGAAATAAATAACAGATACTTCCAACTTCAATCCTGGAGCAGTATATCATGTGACTCAGAATTTTTACTTCTCAACATGTATTCAGAGTGAAAATGCTACATAAAACCTTAATTAAACATCACTTTCTATTCTATACCTATGTAAACATTTGCCTTCGGTATTAACAGGGCTCTATTTTATTATTCTCAACAGATTTTAAATTCTACTCTGGATCATGCCATACAGACAGCAAACAGTTTGAAGAAAGCTACAGAACGAATGGTACGAGCAGTTTCAGAAGATCTAGCTAAAGTTAAAAGAAAACAGCTGTAATTCACCAGTTTCAAAGGCTATATTGTTTTGCTTCAGTGATACTGAAGTGTCACTATTTCTGCAAATATAAAGTGATAAATACTAAGATCAGAAAGTCAGCAGTTAGCTGACTTTGCCAGCTGTTCTGTAACTATCAGTACTAAACTAAACCATATTGGTATTCCACATGTTTACACTCAGTCTCAGAACTAGAAAACAAGTTACTAATTCTACTGAAAGTCTTTAGTATGTTGGCTCACCCCTGTTACTGTGTACAGCTACCTTCTCTAAGCATTCACTTAAGATAGCTTAATAAAAATCAGCTTAAACAAGCAAGGATAACTTTTTGACTTTTGATTTCTTCCCACTCCCTACTAGAAAAATAAATGTCAGTTATAACTACATATATTTTCTTCTCACACCTTAACAGCAGCTGCTTAAGCACACCAACAAAGGGAAACAGTCTCTGCACCCAAAACATCTATAAGCATCATGGTAAAGTACCAAGTCATAGTTAACATACATAATTATGTTGTTTCTAGAGTGTCCTACATTGAGAGTTGTTTGTTTTTAAGATGCTTCCTTGCATGTCTCAGTGAGTGAGTAATACCATTTGTTGACTATGTATTCCTAACAATTAAATTGTCAGTTTCCTCAATGAGGCGTCCTTACCTTATCAGATCTACCTGGCTTTGAGATTGCTAGCAGATGGTAAGTAGGTTAGAAAATTTTAAAATACTGCAGAAATACAGTGGGCTGAGAAAAGTAATCTACTATTTTCCTTCCAAAATCCATTTAACTGCAGTGATTAAAAGCAAGCAGAAAGTTAACAGCCTTGTATTATCAGGGATGCTATTCACTGAAGGAATTCCAAAGTATATAGGGACTGATGGAAATCATCACTTCAAGTTAGAAGTGATAGTGCATTGCTTAAAAAGAACCATCATTTTCTGGCAAGCCTGAGTGGTTTCCATCAGCTGATGGACACAGAGACCATCCAGACTCTGTTCAGACAAGCAGCGATAGCTAAACTTGCTGCTGTTTACCACTGATTTACTCACCACCCAAGTCAATGCCCATTTTCAGGGCTTCTTCCACGCTTTGCAGCCAACACCATTAACCTCTTCTCCCTTCAGCTCTTACTGCACATACTTATAACTCAATTTACCTCTACTAATTATCCATGGTTTTACTTTATTTAGCTTAAGACAACAGCACAGGATAGTGAAATGCCCACTCCTCTGTGCTAGGTTAATATTTAGAATGTCCCTGTTATCACTTTGCAATTGAACTTAATAGTTGAAATAATTGCTGTAGGCTTCCTAAATCCAATAAAAAAAAAAAGATTAATCTCTTCCATAGAAATCTTTCTACACCACAAGAATACCTAAACCTTTTGGTTATCCTGGGTCACTGTCTGAACTTGCTGTCCTGGTCCTGACAGCAACTACTTAAGACAGACCATATCTAAGACAACAAGCATGTAGTGACATTTCCTCAGAACGTTCTCTGGCAAACTGAAAGCTCAGAGTCTTTCCAAACCAGCAGTAATATCTTTGTATTTAATAGCCCTATAAAGATTTCTCTCACATATGTCGAGGTTCCCCCCCCCTCCATGTAACAATTTAAAGCATACCATTACTGCACAGTCTCAGATGCTAAAGGTCCTTTTCTTTTGAATTTGGCAACTGCGAGTTTCATTTGTTAACTTCACACACTGAACAGGAAGGTGACATGACTGTCTCTTCAGTCTGCACACTAACATAATTTTTTCAAGGCTTCCTTCACATACTACTCCATCATCTTTTTCCCCCTTGATCAAGGGTCCTATTCTAGCTGTTATTGACATGGTAATTGTTCCATACCTTTAACTTCCCTCTTAGTCATCTCTGAATCTCGTCCAGATTCAACTTAAGAAATAAACTGCGCTTGGAAATACATATCTTCATTATCTAGGGTAATCAGATCAACATCTGTGCTTATGTGAATCTGGGCCTACATGTACAGGACAGGTAACTATTTTAAGATGTGTAATGTGAAAGCAGGAACTTTCAAAATTATTATATACCTTGTACATGTTCTCTAAAATGTTAGGTTTTGGGGGGAGACATTTATCTTGATACGACTCTTTTCCATTCTTGATCTTGACAAAACAATTCTTGATCTAGGAAAAAAAAGTAGCTGAGAAGATCCTTGGGAAGAAAATAAACATCTTTACAAGAATTTCCCCCCACCCCCCTTCCCGCTCCTTCACAAGCTCCTGTAAGAAATGAGGAGCTCGTTTGGGCTACATATTGCTGTCAGATTTCTTATGTTAAAGCATCTCTATTAATCTACTTTTACATTAAAATTTGGCTTTGCCTTCTGGAACAAGCGGGTGATGGATTCCAAAAGTCAAAACTCTTAGCCTTGCATATATCAGCTATCAAATTTTGAGCTGGTGATAGCATTTAAGCCTAAAGCCTACACTTGGAGAAAGTCTAACTGCTGAACATGCAAAAGTAATCCAACATTTCAAGCTGATATTTCTTCAACTCTATGCAACAAATAAAAATCAATACAGTGGATTTTATATACTACATGGGTTTTATATACTACTGAAATCAATTATTTCAGTCCTTAAGTAGGATACTCTGGTATCAGTTACTTTGTTCTGTATTTATTGCTTTTAAGCTTTGGGGATAGGAAGAAAATTTGCAACTACATGTAGCTTTTACCCCAATCTTGGGTTCTTCTTGTCAAAGCGTGGATCTTTCAGAAAATGTTGAACACCACATTTCATAAATAGGTACTTTTGTTCTGGATTTTTATTGTGATATTTATGGTTAGAAACTAGAATTCAGAAGAACATTATAGATAATTCTACTAAAAAAATTTTGTTAAGTTTTGATGCACATGCCATTTGATGAACTAGTTAAATTAAAAAGGTGTTGTTCCTGTATTCCTGTTGAAAATAAAGTCAGTATACATTAGATGCCTAACTCACATAGATGCATTTGAAAGCTACAGCCACTTATCCTCATTATTTCCCAACATGTTAAAATTGTTACATAAGGACCTCCCATTTCATTCCTCTCTGATGTAGGAGGGGAATTCGACCTTTTTCCACCTTCTAATTAACTTTGAATGAACTTACCTAGCAAAGATGTTCTCTTAACCTATTAGTTAACCTGAGGGCAAAATTAAGGGAAAAGAAACAAAACCACATTTCTGCAAAGTAAAAAATGAATACCCTTACAGCTGGGAAATATGTAAATAAAAAGCCATGAGAAATCTATTTTTCATTATGACATTTCTCTCAGATTCTACATACGACAAACTAACATTTCAAGGCACATCAATACAACATCCCTTTAGAAGTTTAGTAAGTTTACACTTTAATTTTCTTAGACAATTCTCAACATTACCAGTATTACAGAATACAATTTCAAATTTATTTGATCCCCTTCAACACAAATTTAGGTATTTCTTAGTATGTCATAAAGTAGAAGAAAACAGTAAATTCTCTTGAATGCACCAGGTTTTGGTATTTGCTTTGCCTTTTGCTTTTCTTTTTTAAATTACCAAGACATGTGAAAGATTCAACTGCTTCCCTTCTTTTCTTCTCCTTTTCCCCTGCCCTTGCTCCCCCAAAAAGAGAATTCATGCTTAAAATTTTGGAACTTCTACATCACAGGCAATTCAGCTTATGAAATAGACTATGTAGACACAACCATAAATAAGTTTGTAAGAAATTATTTTTTTAAAAAAAGCTTTAGTAATAATCCCTGTATATACTTAAATATAAAGTGTACTTCAGTGCACAGTTGACAGCATTTCTCCAAAGTTATTTATTGAAATTAGAACTTAGTACTTGCGTGATTAACTTTCTACCGTACCCACCACCATCTAAGTGTTGATTTTTCACAATTACATATAACTAAAGAATTTTCAGTGAGTTATTTTACAGAAAATATTACCGTTTGAGACATTGCACTTGTGTGAAATATTTTTACCATCAACTTCTATTTACAAATTTTCTTCTGAAGTCCCTACCTAAGAACCTAGGCCCTTCTGAATTCAGTCATTTTTAGAAATAAACTCTATTACAGAAAGGCTTCACAGTTCTCAAAAACAATTCCAGTTTATATATAAACTTGATAACTTTTAGCATAATTTGTTAGGAATGAAAATGCCCTTTTGAAAAAGCACTTACAGCGTCACACTACCTATACTGAACACAACCTAAGAAACACGTGCTGATTTTTTTCCTCTCTCTGCCTTGTACTCCCCAAAAAAAGCAGCAAATTTAAATTATAAAAAGACATTCCAGTAGTCAGAACTATGTAGTGTCCTGGTACAGTATTTAGAATAAAGTCAGTTCTCTAAGAATGTACATACTATTTGTCTTTTCCCAATGCATCATAAACATCACCATTTCTATTCACCCTTAATGCAGACCATATCCTTTGGTTTACTAAGGCTCTTTACTTCATCCAGTAGTCGGTTAGGTCTCAAAATATGAGTAGAACCTGACAAAAGAACATAAGTATTAACTGTATCAGTCTGAAATTCTGACTTTCGGATATTCCCTCTTTAAAAAAAGTAAATCAGTTACATGCCAGTGTTTTTTACTGGATTACAACAGTTAAAAGGGTTTTAATGTGTTATCATATAAATATAAGTATCACCATTACGAAGGCAGTGTCCCTCTTCCACACACTGAGACATCCAGATTAGGACTCTTACTTTGGATACAAGTTTCAAAGTCCCTGCTCTACCCGGTTTGAAACATAGGTTTGAACCTGGGCCACCTGCACCCAACGCAACTGTCCCAGCCTGCAAGAGTCAATGACAGGCTTTACCTTATAATCACAAAATCATCTGGATTAAAGGGTACCAGAAACAGTAGTTTTCCACAGACATATCAGTTACAGAAAATTGGCTTTTACTGGCTAATATTCCCTTGAAAAATTTGCAATGAATTCCAAGTCTGGAGCAGCAAAGAAAATCCTTATTATTCTTCAAGACTGCACAACTACTTCTCTTGTTCTCATAGAGAGTGATTATAACTTCTGCCATGAAGTTATAACCCTACAGTTATAAAGGGAACTCTTAACTGTTTAAGATTAGGGCTGTCTTGAACCTTGAGTTTTAGTAGTGTCAATCTGAACGGGCGAATATTCCTGAAGTTCTGAATCAGGCATATAGAAAGGTTTTCATCCTGCAGTATGCAGTATAGAAATTTGGAAGTTATCACCTTCCTTCAGAAATCAGGATTACAAACAAAACTACCCGAATCATCTCTAAACAAAAGGGAAGATGGGGCTGCTGTTAGTGCCAGATATTACAGTGAAAAGAGTGACCTACACTAAATATGATTTTGTAAAAAAGTCTCAGATGAAGAAACAGTCTTGTTAAACTACATTCCTGTTGTCCTGGTCTTGCCATTGCAACTCAAAACTAGGACCAGCATTAAGCCTACCTCAATCACCACTAACTAAACCAGCAAATAAAAAAATAAACAAAAAAACCGACACCCTACCCCCTCAACACACCCCACTATATTGAGGTAACAGACTCTAGATCTTAGAATCAAGGTTGTCATTGCTTTACGGAAGAGTATTTATTAATTCGAAATTATAGTAGATAAATTTAATCCTTTTTGGAACTCAAGACTAGATTTAATTGCGAGACACAGGCACCTCAAGCAATTTAGAATACTTCAGATGACCCTGCACCCGGCCACCAGCTGCCACTGCAGATGGAATCAGGTCTCTGGTAAGGTGCTACATCTAGGAGCTCTGTTTTGATATATCATATATGCAAATGTTTTAGCACGAAAATTTAAAAAGCGTTACAGGACATGACTGTTTGAAGCACAGCAGCTGATGTAACAAGCATTTGCTGCCTCTGAAATATTAACTTGAAATGACAGATTACTACGCTAACTGGCAATTCATGCATTTACTGCTGAATCTTAAGAAGATTGGGGAGATTACTCCAGTTTTCAAGGGACAAAGCTGTAAATCACAGTGTGGTCTCTGTAAAGCCTCTGCAGAAACCATGACAAGAACGAGAAGTTGTTGCAAAGTCAACTGAGCTACACTGAAAAAGTTTTTTTGGACTTGTTTGTTTTGGTAGGTTTTGTTGGGGTTTTTTGGTGTTTTTTTTGTTTAAGAAAAACATACATATCTTCCCAAAGTGATTAATTTTTGCACTAGTCTGCCAGCTTTCCTACTACTTCCAAAAGCAATGAGAGTATTAAGTGTAGCTGCAGGTACAGCACAGGCAGATGTGAGGAAACTAATGCAGAGAAATATACGTCTGCTTAAATCCTTTTTGCTATATGTTAGACTACTTTAATAATATTTCTTCGACATAATTGATGATGATTCTTCTGTATTTATTGTCCTTAATGTTTTGTTAATCTAGATAAACTGCAACCAAGATAAACTGAAAAGAAACACATTTGCTATAGTGTTAGTTTACTGAACGAACTTAGGGAATGTAAGAAAAAAGGTCCGCACATTTTTCCAGAAACATACGTAGTAAACCCCTATACACCACCCTTTTCCCAAAACAAGCTTACCAATAACAACTTCACAGGACTTGTGGGCTTGAGAAACTTCATAAGCACTGCGCATCTCAGAATATGTAATTCCTCCAATCACAAATATAATCAGTCTTGCACTACTCTTCCGCTCCTCTTTATAACTAGCTTTAGTTTTCTGGCGCGCACTGTAAGAAATTTCATAAGATAACATTTATATAGCTTTACTGATTAATTTTGGTAAAAAGTATACACTTAACAAGCAGTAACAATTGCTGTCATGCAGTCCAGTTTGATTATAATTTCAGCAAAAGAATTTAGACAAATTGATAGTTAAAAGAATTTTAAACGAAAACAAGTTAGCACATTACTCGGAAACTATTCAGTTATCACAAGTGGGAAAATAAAGACAAAGCAAAAAGCCTTGTTGCACACACAGCGGACTTCTACCAAGCAGCTTAGTTCTGCATGCTAGCAATTCCAGTGGCATTTTTCATTTGAAAAAGCTAGAGTCTTACGTTTTTTCAGTCTCCAAACGTGAACAGATTCTCTAAAAAAATATTTGGCTGTTATGAAATAAGATTCAGAAAGCTAGGAACAAAAAAATAAAGCTCTTAAAATAAACTTTCAAACACACATATAGTAATTGTAGATTCAGATTGAATCATCTGAAGTCCTGATCTATCTTTGCTAGGGTGCCTAGAAGATTCCCAAATGTCACCAGCCTAAGACAGACATCCAGTTACAAGGTACAGGGACTTGCCCTAGTGCTTCCTTGCATTGATCAGCACAGTGCATATCCAAGAACATAAGGACAAACCAACAGTTTGGTTAGCAGTGCAAGTAACAAAACTGTTTTCCTAAGGCTGTGTATCTGTACCGTTTGTCTTTTACTTTGCAAGGTACAAATTCCACTTCAAGCGTGTCCTCCACATTTAGGATATGCGTAACGTTTCCCTCCCTATGATTCCAGCATCTGATTAGCACAATGAGCCTCCCTGCCATAGAAACACTCTTACCTCTGTTCAGCTGCCTCACCATTTAACTAACACTACCAAAAGCAATAAAGCTATCAACCTGGCAGGTATTGGTCACGAGGTTCAAGAGCTAGTGGGATTAAAAAGGGGGAAAGAAGGGGCAGCATAAGTTAGTGAGCTAAAAAACATTTCCAAAAGTCACTGCTCGGTGCTACTTAGTAAATACAGAAGTACACAGAACACACCATTTCACATTCGTTGGCAGAGAATTCATTTCAAGACCTCCAACTTTTCTGGACTTCTCTATACCATCCCCTGACAACAGGGGTCAAATATTTAACAGGTCCATATTCCCTAATGAGAGGGCCAGAAGTTGAATTGAATTACTGAATGACACCACCACTACCACAGCAGAAACAACTTTCAGAAGAAATGAAAACATTCCTTTTGCCTAAGTCACAGTATACTGCTAATCTATCCCTGAAACTACTTCACACTAAAGAGATCAATGGTTTAAACTTCTTACTCTGGGAATATGGAAATGTTTTTTCTAATTTTGAAGCAAAAGTGAGATACTCCAAATAAAAAACCGTAGAAAAGTTATTAAGCTAACAACCAAGTTCAGCATGTCTTAAATGAAATAAAAATATAGGTTTTATACATTAACATTACCTTATATGAATTCTGTCACTGCTTAGTAAGTGCACTTTTGTAACGCTTTAGAAAGTACATGACAAACATGACAAACACACTGAGAAATGGGTAAACTATGTTTCAAGAAATTGTTAAACAATTTACCTTACTGCTCCTGAACCATTCCAGGTAGGAGGACACTGAGAACAATAAGGCCACTCTTTTGAATCTAGTTTGTTTTCTATAGCATCCTGAAGGGCAAAACAAAGACCCACTTTAAACAGCCATGTAGACCTAAAAACCACCAAGTTTCAGCTTCCAATAAGGACATCTAACTGGAATTTAATGCCAGCACATGCAATTTCTTAGAACAACCAATCGCATGCAGCATCTCACGAACAACACGCATGTGTAACAAAATGCTAGACCACACAACGCTAAAACACTTATTATAAGGCTTTTGTGTATCACAAGGATTTGGGCTTACATATACTTTCTTTATAAACAGAGTATTGATTTAACTGTTCAGATTTCACTAGTACCTTTTCATCGGTAACTACCCTAACATTTTATTTCTCTGTTGCAATATATGAGAGAAGTTAGGGTCCTCTGAAGACACAAATGAAGATTTGAAAGTCACCAACAATCTATGAATGACATCACTGGGTGAGACTACAGGTCCAGTGAACTTACTGTTGTCTGACATCGCTCACTAACTGATGCTGGGGAGAGGTTTAAGAACAAAGCAACAACACTCCTGGCAAGTAACATTTTCCAGCCTCTACCAATCTATAGTTTAGATTTGGATTGCAGTTTAAAAACCAACTAGAGAAAAAAAAATCCAGATCTTTAAGTTATACTAAACACTGCCAATCACAGGACAAGCTGTTCAAAAAGACTTTTTGCTTTTCCATTTATTTGCTTCACCTTTAAAACGACCTCCAATAAGGAGCATCGCTAACACACGGCAATCTAACATTCTATATTACACACAGAATAGAAATGAGCTATTTAACTAAAGTAACTCAGGATACTATGGAATTTCAGAAGATTGGCTATAACTGCTCGCTTGAGTAAATTTCTGCACTGCACCCATGAATTAACTAGTTGGTCAAACTTACCTCCATAACATCTTTGATAACAGGCGTCCACCTAGAAAGTTGAAAAGTTTCTTCTGAAGAACGGTCCCTTCTTGGGTGTTTATACTGCTGAGCAGCAGACTAAAAAGATTTTCAAAAGATGCTTGTATTACACAGTGTATTTGGGTTTTTGAAATTTATTCCCAGTTAATAGTGGGGGGGTCAGTAGGAGATGTTAAGGAAACAATAGTAATAACAACAACAACGAACAACAATTAATAGCTGTAGAATTCAGGAAACACTAGAAATATGAATTTCAGAGACAAGGAACTGAGTAAGTTGGCACTTTCCAAAACCAACCAACTTGAGTCACCATCTCATGATTTGAGGGAATATTATAGGTATCTTACTGTGAAAATTATTCATGTTCATTGTTTAAAGGATTTACCACTTAGACACATCATGAAACCAGGAACTCCTAGTAATTGCCTGCTTCCCAAACCAAAAAAAAAAAAAAAAAAAAAAAAAAAAAAGACCTGGATAATACTGCTAAGAGTTACTGAAAGAGCTGTAGACAAGTACTTGGCTGGCAGGAAATTACAAAATAAACATATTCTTACTGAAGAGATAACAGGAACATCAAGGTATTTCCAATTTCTTATCATATCACTATCACTTTCTATTTGTACATTCTGGATCAGCTTGTCCAAGTTCTCCTGGGTAGTTCCTTCGATATAAGGAAAACAAAACTTAATTACCATGTGACTGAGTAACACCAATTTCTGCTCACATATTCTGGGCTGTTATTTAGTCCAGGATTATTTTTTGTTTGTTTGGCCAGTCTACCCTAAGGTTAACATAATACCACATTTTAGATAAGATTTTGTTTAATGGTCCATTTTTGAGACCAAAATTCAGTATTGTTATAGATTCCTCAGACCCACATTCTGTCAGTTTCCTCCTCCTCTAAATTCTTGCTCATTTACTTCATTTTCACGATGCAATGGACAGGGAACTCCCCCTTTAACAGCTTCAATACTAAGTGAAAAGGAGAAAATTTTAACTGTTGCACGCATCCAAGCACAGAAATGATGCTAAAACACTGTAAGGATCTGCACTTGTATCACATCTCTTAACCCCTTATTACTGGTATCTTTGCTACTAATTTGAGAGAAGAGAAGCTACAGAGGATGGACAGTATTTCTTTCAAACTTGGCCATCAACTCCAATAGACGCTTAAGTTAACTCGCACTATCCCAAAACTTGAGTTGAAGTTTATAGTACTGAGAAAACAAAAAAAAACAGGGTAACTTATCATACCATTTGTACTAAAGATATACAGGAGAATAGCTCTGATTTTGTCATAGCTCTCATGACTTTTGTTGAGCAAAACTGGAAGTAGAACTCTCATCGAGTCTTTCACTTTTTGACCTTCTGCATCCGTTCCAAGAGCCAAGTCCTGATTAAAAAAAAAGTTATTTTAGTGAGTAGTCATTAAAAAAAAGCATTGTTTTGTGCATTCTGAAATGCATTTTTATGAAACCGTGGGTTTCGGGAAACAAAGCTGAATCAATTTAAACACAGTATGGAAAGTCCTGACATGATTATTTCAATAGTTTCAGCATAAAATAACACTACATGACACTCATACATTTAAAACTATATGATAACTAGAATTTATATAAATATAAATTATAGTTTTAAACTTGAGAATGGTAGTACAATATAATGCTTCACCCTAACAAGTGCTTTTCCCAGACATTTTAAAAGGGTTTCCTTCTGCAGAACATAGTAAGGCAACTTAATGGGAGTTTTGAACAAAGAAAACACAAAGATGATTCTTATACAAGTCAGCTAGATTCAAAGACAAAAAAACCAAAACTTTAAAAGCACCTCCTTTATTGGCAGAGTAAGAGCCTTGTATATCTCGCTTAGCTCAAGTGATTGCAAAGGAGACAGACACTACTTTTGTCAGTTAAAAACAGGCATCTACTCCTGCAAACAAGAGAGTCACATTTGCAGTAAGTTGTCGAGTTTGTAGGTTTAAAAAAAACATACCTGTTCAGTTTTACAGAGCCTTTCTATGTTAGACTTGAACTTGCTCATACAATCTTCTGCTAAGTTAAGATGGACAACTTGCTAGAAGACAAAAAAAATAAATTCACAAGCTGCCATAACTTGCCTTTTTTTAAAAAAAAAAAAAAAAACACATCAAGAAATCATTTTTACTGGTTACAAGAGTCAACCCTTCAACTATCCTTCAGTACCATCATGCGCTTTCTGTATTTAACCCTAAATACTTGTTAAAACATTAAACTGCTATGCTATCTTCACTCCTCAAAGGACATAAATCATTTAAGTGTTTTGGGTTTATTTGTGGGGTTTTGGTTTTTTTCTTACATACGAAAATGAAACACCTGAAAAGAAGTTTTCTTCTCGAAATTTTACGGTAGGTGAACATATTAATTTGGAGAAAAGTTACATAGCACACTTCACAGGAAAATAACAGAATAAAACTAGACTTCAATAACACAACATCATAGTGTACAAAATGATTTATTGTAAAGCTGTAGTTACAAAAGACTTCTTACCCTACTAATCTCTTTACGATAGTGCGGCATCTTTTTCATTAACTGGGACAAAGCAGATATCGATAACTGTGAAGAAATGACACAAGTTGAAAATTTTTCCTCCCCAATATTTGACACCCTTATTTCCATTCCTGTTGCAGCCTTGCTTCCCCCCTCCAAAAAAAAAAAACCACTGCCATTGAGATAATCCTCAATTTCTGTAATAGGTCCATGAATTATAGATCTGATCAGCTGAAAATAATTAAATTACCAGGAAAAACAACAATACATTAAACAACTTACTTTTCCTTCTGTTGCTTTTCTTTTTGATGAAACTTCTTTCAAAAGTTTTGGTATTTCCCTGAAAACAAAAAAAAGGAAAGTAATCAAATGCAACAGCACCACAGTTCTTAAATCTTTTAAGATCTTTATTTAAAATCTTAAAAGAACTGTGCAGCAAGAACTTCTGAATGAAAGTAAAAGCTTCAAATACAGGTCTCCTTCAGACAAGAGAGTATTTTTTGACAAAGGAAATTGAAGTTAAACGTTCTATTTATGATACCTGCATAATGTCTTTTGATGCAGTAACATGCTAGTACTTTATGCAAATAATCTCTTCAGATTTAAAAGATTTGGAGATGCTTCCCAGGAAATAATTTTAACTGCACTTTCCTCAAGAACTGTAATTAATATTAGTAAAATTGCATACCTCTATACATCCTGTATTTTTAGAGCGTTTTCTTCCTGGCATCGATTTTTAACAGGATGCGGTCTATATTGCAAACTGTCTCCACTACTGCCTGTATTTCGACTTTAACAGCTCAAATACATTCTTTCTCAAATAAACTTTTATAACTTGCATTTTTAACTATTTTTTGTTATTTATTCACATACTCTATCACATCTGCAATATGCTTGTGCCGAATCTTCACCCAGAGCTCGTCATCTTCCTCCAGAATTGCCTCCCGTTCCTTCTCAGCAGTTCCTTCTGTTTTGTATCTTCCAATAGAAAATTCAGACAATTACTTGGTTTCTGGTTTGCTACTTCCCACCCCCTCCCCTTCTCAAAACTCATTAGAGTATTAATTGTTATGGTTTAATCAAACATACACACTAATTGCAGTAGCATACACAGGTTTTTACTTACAAGCCAAGCTATTGCCCAATACAATATAATTTACATAAGGATTTTACAGATCACATTTTTGAACATAGAAGCAGCAGATTAATTTTAGAATCATTCTTTGGGGCAATAGCTTCTGGGCATTCTTCTAAAAAAACGGTTAATAGAGTTTCAATCGTACATTTACATGCACCTCAACTTCTCTTCAGCTTCCAATGTCAACTTCACTTTGGCTTTAAATGCAAATTGTGTGCAAAGTTATACACATTGAGATTGCAAAGTGCAGCCTTTACTTCTACTGTAAGACTTTTTGTAATTCTGAAGGAAAAATGAAGTCCTATTCGCCCACCAAATAGATTAAGTATGACAAATTACTTCACATATACAAGAAACACGCTTCACAGTGTTACAGACCAGCTATCACTTTTCTACAAAGACACAAAGAAACCTATGAAGCAAGACAACAATCACAGTATGTAATGTTTCTACATTTACAGAAACTTACACAGTATATATGGCCAGAAAGCAGAAAAATATAAAAAAATTACAAGATTAATTGTGAAAATCAGATCATGGCTACCTAGAAAGCACACTCTGCTATATTTTCATACCTGCAAATTTCAGATTCATAGAACACTACATTTTCTATGAAATGTTTCTGACAGAGAGATATGTATTCCTGTTTGCTAAACTAAACCATAGGCAAGAAGGTTATCAGAAAGCAAAGTCTTACCAAAATCTTTGTGTCAGAACAATCCGACAGTAAAGTATGTACCTTATGCAAAACAATGTCATGTTACTCCAAATAGTGATAAAATAATGCTTATAAACTGAACATGGCTTACCTAAGTGTGCATTTAGGATGGAAACATGCAAATTTTAACAACTACACATATTAAATGACTGTATCTGTAAAAGTCAGCTTTCCTGATAAATAACTAAGCTTTTTCTCAGTATTTGATTACCGGTCTTGTCTGCCTTGTTAGGCCAAGAAGGTTGAGAATGTGAAAGAAAAGGTAGAGAATCTAAATGTGCATTACCAAGGTTTTGCTTCAAATCTAGTACCAAGTTCTTTGTTTTTTAAAAAAAATGCAATTTGTTAGACTCAAAACTTCGCCAAAAATGCTAATTAGATCCTACCTAATCTCACCTAAGTGAGGAAGTTAACAAAAAGAGGAAGTTACAAATCCAAGAGGAAAGACTAATAATAAGTGAAACAACCCTCATGTAATATAAGCAGCTAATATTGCTATGGTGCAATTCAGCTAAACAATTCCATTGATTTTATAATCAAGAATAAAATGTTTAGATTTTTTTAAAAGTACTTGCTTGTAAATATCATTTTCAATTGGTAGCAGATCATATGCCATTGCCTGGAAGGTGAGCTCATGAAGTACAGTTGATACTGGGTCAAAGCCACGATCAATTATTATTAGTTGGGAGTGGGTTTTAGCCTAGAAAGCCATCAAATACACATGAAGTTAAGACATACAGTACAAAGTTAATGCATGTTAAATCTATTTACAGTAAGTTAAAGCACTGCAGACATTGTTGGAAAAACAACTGAAAAAACCCAAAAGGTATGGTCCAAGTGTTTATAAGCATAAACAAATGTTTAAGATAACCAGAACACAGTGGTTTTAAATGCTAAGTTTAACGCAAAGCTCTTAGCCTATTGCAATGCACTCAGTAACTTCACTTCAACAAAAACTCTAAAGAGGAAAAAAAAAACAACCCAACACTGCACAAAAAAGGCCTCCCCTGACTTTTCACAAATCGGTGTATTTTTTGTATTTCAAAGTAGATCATCTATTCTGTGCTGCAATACCAAAAACATCATCTCCAACTGTTCAACTGCAAGTTTCACTTTGGAGTTTAGCAGAGTGGCAGTTAGCATCAGGTACATTTATTTCTGTAGCAGAATGGAATGTCACCAAGTCTGAATGGTTTACCCCATACTCGTGCATTTAGGCAGCTGCTCTCATCTGCAGTGACAGATCAAAAACATTATTTATGTGAAAAGCTGTCTCTTTGTGCACAGTAAATTCCTTAATGGGAGACATTTCAATTTTGCAGTGAAGTCCTTTCTACACACAGCCCTATGAAATGTGATGTTAAAACAAAAGTTATTTATGTTCTTTTAGGTTTCTATCATCCCCCACTTTATCACAGGGCCAATTTTTCCAAATACAATTAGTTTGATCACACAAATTATTACATACAGATTTACTGTATCAGTTACTACCCTTAAGTAGCTTTCATACACAAAAACAACTAATTTGCAACTAGATGCCTTTATTAATAAATAACATCTGGTTTTGTAGAACCTATGAACCTATTGTCAAAACATATTCCAAATATTTTTTTTCCCCTCAGACTTAGAAAAAAAGAAGCAAACATTTTAGTTCACTACCTACCTTTATTTGGCTTTTCTCATCTGTTTTGTAGTAGTTTTCAAGATTTTTTTCAACAAGTTGTGCAAGTTGGCTGGCTTTATCAGATGGTCCACTGGGAAAAAAGGAAACATGCAAAAATAACTTAAATTTCCTCATCAAAACACTAAGATGCTACCTTTAAAACAGAAAGAACTCCCTAGATCAATCCTCTGGTTTCCTGAGCAGTTTCTGAACTCCATTCTAAGTAGTTCCAATATATTGTCACTCTTACATCACGATTCCACTCTTTGAATGCTTCAGATATTTCACACAGTAGAAAGCTTCAGACAAAAGACTGACATTAGCTGGCATATGGCCCAGCACCTAAAATTCTCACTCAGAGGTGGGGAACAAGAAAGAAAGAGAAAGAGAAAAGAAGAAACAGTCAAGCAATTATTTCTTTGTTACCTTTGCACAAAGGATAAGGCACCACTTCACGGTACACCAGAGAATGCAATTCCTGAGCACAATTTCAGATGCCTACTTTGACTTCAAACTCTGTACTCTCTATCAAAGCTCAAGAGGTATTCTCCTCAATACCTCTACTAAAAAGAAATCCTGACCTCATCAGCTTCAGCAATTTATGAATTCCTTGAGGCCAAGTGGAGCTGCAAAACTACCTACAGCAGCAGTTACAGGATTATGCACGCAGTGTTTTAGAATGCGGCATATTAGATTGTCATCCTACTGACCAAACATGAAACAAGCAGTTCATAACAAAACAGGCTACCCTAAGTACTGTTATACAAATACACAGAGATAATTCCCTGCTCTGCCTACACTTCAAATTCCTATCATTCCATATTTCAGATTTGTGGATTAAAAACAATTAATCCACAATAAAAGAAACTATGCTGCAGCCTCAAGCTATTACCAAAAAATGCAGGAAGTCCTAGAAGTGAAATGAACTACACGATACAACGCTATTTTTGCCCTACCTTTTATATCGTACTCCTGGATTCTCATCTAGCGTGGCACATAAGGTAACAATTTGTTCAGCCATTACTTGCATTACAGCATCTCTATCTTTTGTCTTTTCCAGAGTTGGACTATAGCAGCGGTAGAATGCATCTGGGATATTGAGAGTAAATACCTATATAAAGCACAACCAAGGAAAAAAAAGGCTTAAATTATGTATTTCTAAAATATCTGATAAAAGAATTGCTAATACTTTAAAACTACACAATATAAGACTCATACATAATATACTTCAAAAAAAACAAACCCACACTTCAGTCCTCTGTCCTGTCGAGCTCATCGGCTTCTTGTTCTCACAGCCTTCTCCTCTATTAGTCTCCTCTACTATGTAAATTACTATATTTCTCAAACTGCTTACTGTCAATACAGATGGAGAGACATGAGGCAGGCAGAACTAAATACCATCCAGTGTATCGTACATAGCCATACTTTGTATGATTGCTCTGGTATTGCATTGTATCAAGTTAAACTTGTTTAAAATAGAATTTTACATATTGTATCTGTTTATTATATGAAGACTTTACCTCCAAGAATTGAAATTCTTTAAATGCATTAAACCTTGATAAAAGATGTTTAGTACTATGCAGAAGAAAAACTTTTTCAACAGTTTAGTACATGGAATGCAAACACAGAACCAATCCCATTGTCAGTAAAAGAATTTTCTGCAGCTTCAGATGGACTCTGTAACTACAGAGCCAAAGAAAAACGTCCATCCAGATAAAGATATTTGTTTCATTTGAGTAGATAATCACTTGGACTTTGCCCAGAGCTTAGTTTGATTATTTACTCTTATCACCACAGAAAGCAGGGCCAGGTATTGTAAATTAGGAAAAAATCAGTTAACGTTCTCCGTTCCTTTGCTAAGGATTCAAAATGTTCTCACAACATAAAATACGGAGAACACAAAACTAAACTAAAAGCAAGAAGAGATTTAAGTGCTATTTATTTTCAACTTTAGAAAAGCAGGCCCAATTTCTGCTCTCATGGCAAGTCCTCCAGAGATCCGGGACAACAAAATTTTCATATGCCTCATTTGGTAGAGGAAGGTAAAAAATGTTTTCTTAAGAGCAGCTTTAGCAGAACTCCCAAAACCAGTCTGAAACAAAGTTTGGGAACATCAACACCAGTTGACAACAAACAACCATCACACTATTCTCTGATGGCATCTCAATCTAAATAATAAAAAAAAAACACCTTTTTTTTTATTTAAAGAGTACGTCTTCAAACTAGGCAACTGCACCACAGTAAGACAGAGCCACAACCTCTCCTACATTCACCAGCCACTTGGTATACATAAAAGTTCTGACCCTTGTTACGTTCATAAAGTTTGAGGAATACAGGAAAGATTTGTGGGAAACATTCATGGTTAACTCCCAATAGTGGACAGGATTTGGGGGCTTTACTGTATTAGTGAGTATCAGAGTGCATTTCAGCCTTCTGTTTCTGATGAAGTGCATGAGCAACAAATTACTTCTCAACACAATACCCACTGTGAGGTTTCACATGGAAACCACTCATTGGTTTCCACCAGTGGTCTCAAATTTTTAATTGAGAAAACGCGGATTTCCATGTTTTCCTCTCAATAAGAGGTTTGCCAAGTTATTACAGGTTTTGTTTCTCTTTTTTGTGAGGCTTTCGTTTTGTTCCCCTCCCCTTCAGTTCTCTTAATCTGTTTGCTCTCCTTTTATGACTTTTATCATGTAGCTAGTTCTACTTAACTCTTATTCCTACTCCTACACATCAAGCTATCTAGGCTGTCAAAATAACACCTCAGTGTAAGCAGTAACAAACTTTACTACTTACTAAAGACAAGCCAGAATACTTTCATTTTCTTAAGAAACAGATTCCTTCTCTAACATCTCTACTGCAACTTACTCCAAGTCTTCTAAAGAGGTCAACCGCAAACAGTAAACCTTTCAGTACAAGAGCATTTGTTTTCATCATAAAAATATAGGCAAGCACTGGAAATATGCCAAAACAGCAACAGGTCTCACATACACTTCATCAGCAATTGTTTTCTAACAGGTCAACAACACTTGAAAATAGTCCTCCAGACTAATTTCTGCTGTTGAGATAAAGAATGAAACTTACCTGAGACTCATATGGAAAGAAGGAAATGTTAATCTCCTTGCATTTCCTTATTGATTTTGCACAGGAAGACTTAATTTTATTGAAGAGGTTGTCAGGACAAACTAGGGGGGAAAAAAAGATCATTTGTGCTTATTCCAGCTGTTAACTCCCTCACAAGCTTACAGTATTCAGGACAGACGATTCTAAATTAAGAACCAATTAACAGTAACATACAAAAAAGTTGCCAAATCTTCCTAAAGTGAAATCAATATTTTTGTGTTTGAAATATTTTTCAAGAAGCATCACTGGTCATTTTTTACCAGCTTTTGGCAAGCAAAGTTGTAGTACACTCATTAGCAGTCTGCAGCAGTGAAGGATATTGATTCTATCAATGCAAAAGTTTCTGCTATTTCTTCTCACATAGGAGAGAGAAAACATTGCCCAAGCTACAAAACGGTTAAAGGGAGAAATGATGTGTACATATCAAACAGCAAAACACAGAGAAATATGGAATTTAACTATAGATCTCAAATGCGTTCCACTACACTTACAGGCTGCATTGGATCGCAGTCTGGAAACTGAATTTAAGGAATATTTGGACGACACAAATACTACACAGACTTGGAAGCAACAGAGGTATTTCTCTAGCACCTCTCAACATAAGAAGTTTTGGCAAGTATTCAAACTGAAAGCTTGCACACTTGCAACAAAGGAACATACAGCAAGATAGCAATTCTTGTTATGGAAAAATACTGCTACATCAGCATAAAATGAAAAAAGAAACCAAGAGTTTTTGACAGTAATTTGATAACTGCTTTGAGAAGATATGGTAGCAGATATGCACCATCTACAGAGACAGCCACAACTCAGTCTCTGCTTTCAGCAGCATGTTTGGCATTTTTGTTTTCCCTTATTTATATGCCATTTTAGTCACGCTGACTGACTGCAGAGGAACATGCAGTCATTAACCCCATTTGCACTAATTGTCTCTGGTTTGCAATTTATATCGTGCATAAAAGGGCTAAGTAAGCATCTGCTTTCGGGTGACAGGGAAAAAAGCTGATTCACAAGTCTGAACGAACTACCTAAAATAACCAATTACAAAACATTGTTCTTGCAGCAAATTCTTATGCGTTTATATTTTTGAGTACTATTTTGTTTATATGAGATACATAGTTTTATTTGAATTGTCTTCCTACATATTCTCCAACATAGGAGAAGACTGAAATACTTCAAAAGTAAAACTAGATTACCTAAATTAAAAGCCAAGGTGAGGAACCATCAATACTGTTTGGCAACTGTGAAAGAAACGACTATTGCCACATGGCACAGTGACCACATTGTGGCAAAACAAATGGATGTAATTATTTGTGTCTCAGACCTTGTCTCAAGAAACAGGACCCAAAATTTACATGTACTAAACTATAGGAAAGAAAGTTGAGAAGCGTACTTATTTACATATATAAAGTTACCAAAGTACAACACAAAAGCTTACTTACAGTCAGTGAAATACACATATGCTGCTTTGTATCTGCTGGACGATTTAGTGATGAAGTCATCAATAAGTCCATCTACAGACTTATGGGTGTTGGAAAAATAAGGAAAAAAGTCATTACAGTGTTTTTGCCTTTCCTTTCATACCAGACAAAGCTTCTCCCTCCTCTCCTCCTGCCTTGTTAATTACCCAGTCCCACTTAGGAATACTTAACATATAAGAAAAGAAAACACTCAGTAGAAGATTTTTAATTCCAGACCAAGAATAATAAACAATTACAGATGGTCAGTCATGCACCAAGATCACTTTAAGAAGCAAACAAGGTGGGATATTTGCATCATTTTCCACCTATAACAGTGCTGAGATTTATTCTCTCAAGAGTTTTTAGGAGGTAACAGTAATCTCTTATTAGAGCCATTACTTTGAATTCTACTGTTCAATGTATTGCGTCATTATTTGATACAACTACTCTTTCAGTGAGGTTACTAATAGCCAAGCAATGAAAAACAGTGCTTCCATTGATCAAAAGGTAAACATCTGCAACACACTCTATGGTGACACTGCATTGCCTTTTCATTATGGAAAATGAAGCATCACACAAAATTTAAAAGTTAAGTACTTCATAGTTGTACACAGTAAATAAGTATTTTAAAATAAGGTTGCTTTTTCAGTCTGAAAGGTCTTGTTATGCTTTCTTTAAAATACTAACCTTTTTGGTGGGAGTTATGAAATATATTGCTTTCATGTGTGGGACAGGCTCACGGTTTTTATATACATTCTCCACCACTATAAAGTAAGAAATATTACATTTTTATTATTAACAGCTTTATGCTTCTTTAAGGAAAGCACCATACATATTTTGTTATAGAAGTGATAAAAATAAAATAACACTAATCAAGTTGTCCACAAAGTTAGTGGCAAGAACCTATCTTCTGCCAAGAGAGCCTTGATTTTCTCTTTGTTTATGATTTTAAATACAAGAAGTTACCACATGACTTCTTCAACTCTCAGTCTAGTGTCAATTAAATTTGTAAGACTAAATTTTTCTACACAAGCAAGAGCTTTGCCCTCGTACAGAAAGGTATGGCAACACAAACATGCTCAAACTATGGGGCCAGCATGAAATATCTTGCAAGAGAACTGCCTCAGCATGATGGTTCTTTTTCCAGAATATCAAAGGAGGGGGAGAGTGAAACTACACAGGGCATCATTTTGGACTATAGCCTCTTCTGTCCTTTGTTTGTCTATTTCCTGTGCACTTACTCTGTTTCAAGATAATTGCAGGCACAAATTAGACATTTTCAGCAAATCAGCTTCACTCAACTCTTTGTTTTCTCTGTTTAATAAAGTCATTACTATATAGTGTTGCAGTACACTAGCTTGAGAATGCAGAGCAGTTCATGTTGCCCAGTAATTTCAAGGAGGAGGAACAAAGAAAAGTAATATCAGATATTTGGATGCGGAAAGACAGGTTCTTTTCAGTAACGTACTCATTAAAAATAAACGTTTTCTTCTTGATGAACAGGGTACATGCTCACTGAAAGTTTCTCACAAAAGATAAGTAGAACTTACAATGATTAAAAATATACTCCCAAAGTGAAGTGTATACAGCTTTGCTATTGTACTTCCAGAAGAATCATGTTATACTGAATAGTTGCAGTAAGAAAAGTCTTGCCAATTGTGGAAAAATAACTAAGTCTAAATACTGCTCTCTTACAAAAGTGTTTCTAAAAATCTAAACCTAAAGCTAATTAAGAACCAGATCATTTACATTTTGTGTATTCATTTCCATTTCAAAAACAGGCAGGTTGATACACAAATAAACATTACAGACAGGTCAATCCTAAAAAGCAGCTTTGAAAAGTATTTTATAACAGGAAAAATATCTTTTTTTAAGTTGTAGGGGAAAAAGCCCGTAAGATTTACTAGAGAGAAAATACTTTTTTAGAATACACATAAAACCCCAAAGTTTTATCTAAACAGGCATACTACATAACTGAGATCTATCACACCCCATCCATTATTCATTTTCGACAGTGGCAAATATCAAGGAACACAAGAGACATTCCAGCAGATGAGAGATTCCATTCCACTAGAAATTACTCCCAAATTGTTTGGAAAAGTGACAATCTAATTACTGTTAACATTGCTTATCGGTTTATTCTAGTTAAAGTAATCATTGATGTAATTTTGTTTCAAGTATTTGTTGTGGTTTGTTTGTTTGTTGGAGTTGGTTTTTTTTAATTATGGAAAGCTCTCTTGTTTTGAGAAGAGGCTCAAATATATCTGCACAACATAGAACTGAAATTCAAATTCTTCCTCTATCACATCCACTTGCTTGCAAGCACCTCTCATCAGTTTATTATCTCATTTTGTCTTGAGTACTGAAGTTTCTCTGCTCTCGTATCCTAACTACTGTTCAAGATCATAAATTAATTCAAAGCAGCAGATATTACCGATTTACAGAACATATTAGGAAAAAATGCAGAGAGCAATTTGCCTAGTTTTGTACATTTTACTAACATTTTCTTAATTCTTTACTGAGCTTCTCTTAACATCAACTGACAGATAATACCCTTAAAATTACTCTGTGACAGATAACTTCATTTACCCCATCCTGCACACTAGCAAACAAAGACCCACGCCCCAAAAAACCACTCCACAAAGCAAATAAACAACCTCAAACAAACAAACAAGAGACAAAAAAACAACAAGCAGCACCAAAAAGCCTTACAGCAATCTTTAGCAAAAATATTAAAATAAAAAGGGTTTTAGCTTCTAGGCAGGGAAACATTTGATTTTTTCACTAAAAAAAAAAAATAATCACAAGTGGGTAATTACTGTACAAGCCAGAAAGTCTGCCAATCTAATATGCCATAGCTACTTGTCTTCATCAACCAAATTAAGAGAGACAATTTCTTGCCAGGGTGTCGTCAGTTTTATTCTTTCCCTTTTTCTTATCAGGATATTGCTATCTGTATATTAAAATGAATTATGCTTACCTGTGATACCCTCTGCCAGTAGGTCAGTCATTTTGCAGCACAGTGACAGCAATTTAGTAGTGTAATCATCTAAAAGAATTATCTAAACATATTTTTGGAAAAAAAAAACAAAAAAACACAACACAGGTATTTAGATAAACTAATCAGCTATAGTAAACCCATTCCTTAACAATTTGCCATGGAAATTTGAAGCTGAAATCTACTTTATTAGTCTGTATCTTTTCATCACCTGCATCTAGCAACTTGGCAGTGGGAAATTAATCTCACAAAGCATCAGAAAGCAGCTCCCTACATATGGGATTTCAGAGCTCCATCTTAAATAAGTAGCTTGTCCCCACTACTCCTACTAGAAAGTATTTTAAAAATTTCACTTTTACACAAGTCTTTTGAATTCCTGCCTAATTTAGCCCATGGTCTTGTTAAACATATCTGTACTTATTCTAAAACTGTTTTACAGCTTAAGCAGCTCTCACAGGTATCGTACAGCTGAATCCTGCTCTACATGTATCACACAGCAGTATAATTTTTGAAATTAATGAAGCATAAGTCTTTCAAAAGAAAAATGAAGATAAACACAAACAGTTTCTTCTTTTTTTTTTCCAAAACTTGAAAAAATAATTGAGACAACTAACCATTTGTTCTTATTATGCTAGCCCTTTGATTTTTCATTACGTATTATAGAGATCTGAATTACATTACTTGGATAGAAAAAGTTTTAAGTGAAAGCTGTTCAATTATACTTATGTTTGTGTACTCAGATTACTTGTTCAAGTGATTTTAACATTCTTACAAAAATTATAACAAAACTATACCTTCCATTCGTCCTCTTTCCTGCAGTCATCAAATACTGATGATTTTAGCTCTGTAAGAAGAAACAGAGATAGACAGTTTACCAGTTAGAAGAATCAAATTGTTACTAAAAATAATTCACCCATTTAGACTTATATATTTAGAGACCTAAAAAGGGAGGAAGAAAAAAAAACCCAACCAATTGATAAATACCTCTACAGAATTCTTGACCACAAACTGTCCCTGCCTGCTTCAGATAGACATAGCTAAATTTTTCATTTTTACCGATATTAAACAGCTCCACAAAAATCAGTCTGAATAATCACAAGCCTGTAAATATTTCACTTTGTCACTTTGTTTCTATTTGTTTAGTGAATTCTTCCACTAAATGGATTGTGCACATGCAAAAAATATAAGCTACTCTTTAAGATAAGGCAGCTGGACAAACACATTCACAAACAGATCTATTTTAAAATATATGCTAAATTCAGCTGTCCTTGTTCTTTCTCTAGAATTCCGGAACAAGCGTAAGAAATTACTAGTTCTTTCAGGAATTGAAAGTTACCTTAAATAAGGTATCCTTTATCTTTTCCTGCTATGGCAACTTTGGGAAAAGTCATTTAAAAACCTTGTACAAGACTCAGGAATAAGTCAGCATCTAGTTACAACCCACAGGTTTTAAAGATCACCAGAACCAAGAGTTGCAACTTTCAGGAGTGGCGTCATCAGGCTAATGCAGATTTGATCTCACTGCAGTGGTATGTATTAATTAAAAGTCCGAAGATTTTGGGACATGTATAAAACCTGGTATTTACAAACATAGGAATAAAGAGATCTGAATACCCTGTTCTCTTCTCCCAGAGAACAGAATTTCAGATTAAGTTGATGACTACTGCTATTAAAATAGCTGGATCTTTTTCCCCAAATGAAAAAAAAAAGAAAGTAATAGAAACAGAAGCCTTAAATACAAGCGAGCAAATTCTGCACACATGCTGTGATTACTGCCAAGTGAAAGAACTGTAAGAAGTTTCAGAACAGTAGGTGCACATACAACAAAAAGTACACCTATTTCTTCAATATTTATAAATATTAATATATTCACTTATGTCCAAGTCCCTTCGGTATGACCCTACTGTAAGGTACTCCATATCTACCCCCAACTTCCAGTGCCTCAGAACTCAGCAGTTACTTCAGCTGAGCAGCCTACCTGCTCACTCAGCCTGCATTGCACTTCAGTTTCACAACTCTAACCCTGCGTAGCATGCAACGCTCCCAAGTTGTCACACATCATGCTTCTCATAGTTTTATTTTACAAAGATGTCATACACTGACTCTTTCACACTAACACAAGAAGTTTCTTTTGAAAGTTAATTACTTTATGCTTTAGCTTTCCAATATGCTCAAGTTACTTTTTGCAGCGTTGACATTCTTCACAACAACTTAAAAACCTTACACTCCGCTTCATCTAATAAACTGACAAAAACACTGATCTAAAAGCTATTTAAGTAGAAAGCACATGTTTTAAAAGGGATGTAATTGGTGTATTTTGTTTAGGCTGCTAAACAATAGAAGTCAAGCTTAGTTGTCCTGAATCCTTTTCTGCTTATACAAGTCCTGAAGTCCATTATCATTGCTTAAACTTGCCCTCTGGGTTGCTTCCAATTCGACATCCTTCCTGTTATACACAATCCAGTTTTTAATATGTTCTAGGTCCGCTTAGCCTGGTCTAGAGACTCCTGTGACTTCTTCGGATATACTCTATGTAAAATTGCAGAATGGTCATCACTCCATAGCTGCTACCAAGATGTATTTGTTGGTAATACCTGAATCCAAGGTCTAATACAGGCACATTTTTTCTATCACTTGTATACTGTTTATTTGTTACATATATTTTTCTAGGTTTGTACACAAGATGTAAGAACAAATCTTTAGCCTCATGAGAATTTAATTCACCTCCATATTTTCTGAGACCACTCTTACCAAGGAATTAGTCCTTGGCATTACAGAGAATTCTTGTTAATAAATTGAGCACCTGAGAGCCTCGTCCAAAATCTTAAATATATTTTTTTCTACAATACCTTAATTTACTTGCCTATAAACCAAAACATACAAATACATAGTCCAGTTGTGTCTTGAATTTAATTTCTGTAATTAAAAATAGAAATCAGCTTTCTCCCATCACGAAAAGATATGTTACTCTAAGCTATCAGTGTACCAGATACAATGTACTTGCCCTTGCAACACTCCAACAGCTATTTGTTTTGTCCTCAACCTGCAGCTGCTTTACCCAAATAACTGGCCTACACTGGTTTACAGGCTCTCAAAATCACCTCATTTGTCTCCAGTAAGCATTCTGAATGCATCAAGACCAATCATAAACCCAGGTATGACTAGTGCTCCATTTTTGTCTAAGCTTTCGTTTTCTTCTCATAAGTTTCATACCAACCATGCATTCTAACTACCTTATCTAATTTTGTCTTCTCTGAATACATTCAATTAGCTTGTCTTTTTTTTTTTCCCCCCTACTTTTACTTCCTGACCCAGATAAGAACTACACACAAGCCTGATGGAACAGCAGACTGCTAAATCCCTGTGTGAAAAAACAAACAAAAAAAAAAGCAAGCCACACCTTGGCAAAGTTAATGACCCATTTATAAAGCACTTCCTGAAGAAAGGACTAAAATAGTAAGCAGGACTTTCACTGTAAGCAGTGTTCTGGAAAATAAAGTTGCAAAATTGCTAAATCATTTTTAAAAATTAATAGAGATACCTATGGCTAGGCTAGAATCTTATTATACAAGTCTAGAACACATTTTAAAGTTGAAAAAAAAAAAAAAGACAGAATTCCTTGTGGAAATAACCTTATTTACAGATACACACACAGATGCAGCATATAATTAATTTTATAACTTTATCCACAGGAACTACTGCCTCCTAAACACAGGTAGCTTTCCCCATCCCCATAACTGTGAAGTTAGATGACAACAAACTTTGGTGAAGTAACCTTTTCCTACACTTCTGCATGGATTCACCCTAAAATTGCACCTTACAGAAAGGGCTATCACAATGGAAAGAAGGGTTTTTAACAGCACCCTACCAGAGCACAGGTTCAACACTCTTCGTATACACAACACAGGTACAACTTCTTTACCTATTCACAGAACAGGAATAAGATAAACACCAACAACAAGCTGCTATAGGAAGCATCAGCACCACTGAAAAATTATTTTCGGACAAACCAGCCCTAAAAAAAAAACAAGTTTCATGAAACATTAGAAAGCAGCAGTTCATGGCCTTGAATTATCCATAAACAAAGTGTCAGACAGCATCTAAAACTTACTTCATCCATTGTCATTGTTGTTGTAGTCTTCGAAAGACAAGAGTAACTAGTTATCTAACAAAGCACTCTTTTCAGAAGCTTCCTTTTTACAAAGTTTGCAAGATAAATGTTTTATTATTCACACTGCTTCACCATCACTCTAATCTTTCTTCCTCATGGTCTTGTCCACATGGGCAACACCATTTTCAAAAGTCCATATACACCCTGATGACACACTAGCACTCTGATTAGCTTGCCTCCTTTTAAGGCTACCATGCTTGACCAAACTGATAGCCTTCTATGGTGGCATGACTGGCTGGGTAGATGAGGGGAGAGCAGTGGATGTTGTCTACCTCTACTTCAGCGAGGCTTTTGACACAGTCTCCATTAACATCCTCATAGGCAAGCTTAGGAAATATGGGTTAAATGAGTGGACAGTGAGGTGGATTGAGAACTGGCTGAATGGCAGAGCTCAGAGGGTGTGATCAGCAGCGCAGAGTCTAGTTGGAGGCCTGCAGCTAGCAGTGTTCCCCAGGGGTCAGTACTGGGTCGTCTTGTTCAACATATTAATCAATGACCAGGATAAGGGGATAGAGCATACCCTCAGCAGGTTTGCTGATGACACAAAACTAGGAGGAGTGGCTGACACATCAGAAGGCTGTGCCACCATTGAGCGAGACCTGGACAGGCTAGAGAGTTGGATGGTAGAACCTAATAAAGTTCAACAAAGGCAAGTGTAGGGTCCTGCATCTAGGGAGGAATAACACCATGCACCAGTACAGGTTAGGGGTTGACCTGCTGGAAAGCAGCTCTGTGGAGAAGGACGTGGGAGTCATGGTGGACAACAAGTTGACCACGAGGCAGCAACGTGCCCTTGTGGCCTAGAAAGCCAATGGTATCCTGGGGTGTGTTAAAAAGAGCATGACCAGTAGGTCAAGGAAGTTCATCCTCCCCCTCTACTCTGCCCTGGTGAGGCCACATCCAGAGTACTGTGTCCAGTTCTGGACTCCCTAGTTCAAGAAAGACAAGGAACTACTGAAGAGGGTCCAGCAGAGGGCTACAAAGATGATCAAGGGACTGGAGCATCTTCTCTTATGAGGAAAAGCTGAGAGACCTGGGTCTGTTTAGCCTGGAGAAGACTGAGAATGGATCTCATCAATGCTCATAAATATCTGAAGGGTGGGTGTCAAGAGGATGGGGCCAGACTCTTCCCAGTGGTGCCCAGTGACGGGACAAGAGGGAACAGGCACAAACTGGAACACAGGAAACTCCATCTCAACATGAGGAAAACTTCTTAACTTTGAGGGTGGCAGAGCACTGGAACAGGCTGTCCAGAGAGGTTGTGGAATCTCCTTCTCTGGAGATATTCAAAACCCACCTGGAAGCAATCCTGTGCAACTTGCTCTAGGTGAACCTGCTTTGGCAGGGGGGCTGGATGAGATGATCTCCAGAGGTCCCTTTCAAGCCCTACTATTCTGTGACTCTGTAAAGTTCAAGTCTTCTACAAAACACCTTAGGACAAATCAATCGCTTTACTGTCAAAGGCACAAGTGACTTAACAGAGCAAGACAGGACAAGCAAAGAAGCAAAAGTAGGGATTTCTACAGATTAAGTTAGAAACAAAGGTATCTAACTCATGCAAGCAGGGTATCAGCAATCGAGAATCAAACACCACAGGTACAGTCCTATTTTCTTTTTCTTCCTTTTTTTCCATTTTCTCTTCCAGTGACACAAGCAAGCAGACTGGAGCTTGCAGGTGGGAGCAGAGGAGGAAAACGCAGACGAGAAGGCAGCAGGACCTTCCCATTTCAGGGACAGAGAGTCACTGGGCTGGCTGAGCTGCTCACAGAGTCACAACTTCAGTACAATTAAATCCGGCATGAGGTGGCTACTAAATGCCTTTCCCCAAAGGTCTCACAGTACCTGAAATACTATTAGCCCTTATACTCCACTAAGAGATGGAGTAGTTACAACTTTGTTTTCTGTACCAAACACTGGCAAAACCTGTTCCTGAGTATGGCCATAAAAACCGGCAGTTCATTTATGAAAGTACCTGGGGACACCTTCCACTTTTTCTTCTGAAAACCGTGAAGCCCAACACAAAGCAGGCAGTGCTGCTTCATGCCAGACAACCAGAGAGCCCCGTCTGAGACCGGGACCACTCTCCAAAACTGGCATTTATGAAGCAACAGGGCAGTCTTTGAAGAACTGACTTCAGCTTAACCTCTTCAAGAGCTGGCATGCCTGGGTATAGCCTGTACAACTCACCCTCATCTCAGAATAAGGCTAAAACGCTTCCATCCAGGCGCTAGTACTGCAGGCAGCCGCCTCCCGCCACCCCGACG